GCTCCGCAGCGCGCCTGCGCACCAGCCCGGCTGCGCCGGCGCCCTCTGATGGCCGGAGTCTGCGTTGCACTGGTGTCGTCTACACAGCTGATTCATTGATTAGTGGTCCTTCTCTGTTCTTTGAATAGTTACTGAATGCGTACTTTGTTCCAGGTACTTTGCATCTCCTTTGATACAACATAATATGGAATATAATACTTGCATTGAAAGAAATTAATATAATGCAGCAACGGAACAACCAAACAGTTACTGTATTGTAACCCTGTAAACGGATGCTAATAGAACGCTATGATGGTCGGAGAGAAGCCCTCAACCTGCCCTGAAGCACTTAGGCCAGGATTCCTGGAGCACGTTTCCTAAACTGGGGCTTCATGATGAGTCGAAGTCATCCAAGCAAAAAGAAAGTAGGGTGGGCAGTGCCAAAAGATTAAGAATGAGCAAGGGCACAGAGACGGGAAATGAAAAAGAAAAAGCTTGGTGTCATAGCTGAAAGGAGCATCCATTCTGTATTAGTGGAATTGTGAGTGCAAGACAGAGTTGAGAGCAAAGGGCCAGCTGGAGGACACCTTATAGCAGCCGCCTATGCCTAGCTAAGGACCTCATATTCACACCCTAAACCCAAGTTTTTCAAACTTTTTTACTCAACGTGCACAATTAGAAATATTTTTCAGGGCTGGGGATTTAGCTCACTGGTGCCAACCTTAGTTCGATCCCTGGCACCAAAAATATTAAAATAAAATAAAATAATAATAGAAATATTTTCCATTGCAGCCCATTGACATCATAAAGACATAAATTATAAAGTGGTGGACATTTGGATATGGAGCCAAAGAAATGTAGGCAGAAACAAAATTCTCACAAAACTACTAAACACCCATAAGTACTTCCTTTTTTCCTTGTTTGTTTGGTTCAGAGCTGCCCGATATAGTCCAGGCTGGCTTCCAGCTCTGTGATCCTCCTGCCTCAGCCTCCCTGCAGAGTGCTGGGATTACAAGTGTGTGCCACCTCATACGACTTTGTTGTTTTTAATGCTGGTTGCAACCCACAAAATTGATTCATTGCCTACTAACTGCTGCTGGAGGAAGTGAAAATTAGTCAAGGCTTTTAAGCAAGAGACAAGTTAGATTTGCATTAAAAATCACTTTCAAAAATCATGAGAGTGGTTTGGAAGAAGGATCTATCCTGTGCTGCCCAACAGAACTTTCTGAGGTGGTATAGTTTGCTGTACCGGCACTGTCCAGTCCAATAGCCACTGGCTAATTGTAGCTACGGAGCTCTTGTAGTGTGGCAACTGTGACTGAGAAACTGAACTTTAAACTTGACATCATCTTAATTAATTACAACTTAAATAAGCACATGGGGCTAGAGGCTACCATATGGGCCTGTGCAGGCCAGTACCACCAGGATTATGTGACATCTTTGGGCAAATCACAAAGGTACTTTCTCCAGGTAGACAGGCCCACGCTGGAGAAAGGCGTTGTGTTTCAGCCCCATTAACCTGCTTCCCTGACACAAAATGCTCAACTGTGCACAACAACCCTGATAAGAGGGATGTGTTCCTGTGGGAAAGGAGTCACAACAACAGTTCAGGCAAAGTTGCTGTGAATCTGAACTAAACCACTAGAAGCTGTGTTGAAAAGGAGTTTGACAGCATTTGAGAGACAAACCCAGCAGGACTTGGATGACCAGATGTGCAGCGAGAGAAAAAGGAGAAAAGGTGACACGTTCAGTACTTCAGGTCACAGAGGCAGAGCAGAACCCAGCACCAGGCCGTGTCTGCAGGAAAATTCACAGTCTACTGGGAGGAAGGGTCCGTTCCCTGAGCCCAGAGGGAAGAGTGCAGGAATTGTTCAAGCCAAACCGTGAGATCCAGCCCCCTTCCAAATGAATCTGCCTATACCTTGGAAAGTGCTCTTTAACCTCTAGATGCCAAAAGATCCTACATCTTGCCAGCCAGTTTTCCTGGAGCTTCATTTGAAGAGATCTTCCCTCACCTGGCACCCATCCTGCAGCAGGTGGAATGCAGCTGCTCACACTGTCACACACCTGCTGATTACCCAGCCTCCTCCGCTCACAGATCGCCCAGCCTTCTTCTCACACAATCACAGCACGTTTGGTACGGCAAACCTCAGGCCTGTGCTCTCTGATGTGAGGACATGAGGCATGGATGGCCATTTCAGCATAAATTATATTTAAAGATCAGTTCCTTAGCAGCACTACTCATATTTCCAGTGTTTGGTGGCCTTCTCTGACTCACCGCTGCTGTATTAGATGATGTGGAGAAATATTTCCATCATCACAGCAATTTTCATTGGGCAGGATGCTTTAGACATTACACAGCTGCCATCTGGTAGAAAATGCACTCATTCTAATGAGAGCCAAGGGCCAATTAAATCAGGCAAACGTCATTAATGAACTCAATACGGTGTCACACACCTGTAATCCCAGCTACTCAGGAGGCTGAGGCAGGAAGATCACAAGTTGAAGACCAGCCTGAACAACTTAGCAGATGCTGTCACAAAAAAAATTTTTTTTTTTGAAATTTTTAACGTGTTAGGGCAGAGCACTTTCCTAGAGTCGTGGGCAGAGACAGGTGGAGAGGCCCCGCAGTTCTCGTCCTGACTCTCCTGGTGACACAGAATGTTGTGGAAGAATCAGACAGAGACCCCAAAAGCTTAGAAGCAAAGTTGTGCTTTTATTCAGCAAGGATGCGAGAGTACAGCTGCCTTCTCTCAGAGAGACAGGCAGGGGTGCCCCAAATGGAGCCACCAGTGAAGGGGGCTCAAAATGTTGCTGTACAGTAGTTGGGGGCCTATCTCACCTCTGGGTTGAGGGCACCCTACTTGGTTGGTTAATGATTAACTTAGTTCCTTAAAAGAGACAACAGGGAAGGGCCTTTTCGGGGGGCTTTTTCCATCTTAGGGTTAAGGTTTGTTCCTTTTTGATCTTAGCAAACCAAGCTTTGCAGGGTACATCATATAGAGGAGGTGCAACTGCAGACAGCCAGATTTTCCCGGGTGGGTAAGCCTGTTCTGCCAGCTATCTGAACTCCTTGCGGGGGGGGTCCCTCATCTCTCCCCTAAAGGTCTCTATCCCTACACTAGTGTGTGTGTGTGTATGTGTGTGTGTGTGTGTGTGTGTGTGTGTGTGTGAGGATTCAATTCCCAGTACTGCAATAACGAATTAATTAATTAAAATTAGATTAATACATACATCAACTATCAAGGCAGGAGGTGAGAAAAATAATAGGCTCACTTGACCCTTTGGAGGACCATTACCAACAGCGAGCAATCTATACCATTTATGTTCAAAAAATTCCCATTACTCTTTGGAATTTCCATAATACCTTCGGCCTGTAGGAGCATTTTATAGTACACTTGCTTCCATCTGTGGATGGAGCTGGGGGAGATTGCAAAGCTCTAACCACATCCATCCACTCTGTCTTGCTCCCTCCCTTCTCTCCTTCCTCCAAATCAAATCCCTTTGTTCACCTTGTCTTCCCATCCACTTACCTCTGTTTATCCCCCTGACATTGCCCCAACCCAGACAGTGAGGCACAAGTCTGCTAGAGACCTGAAGACCAAAGCCCAGGAACACCAAGCATCTAGTGCAAATACCAAAGAGAGCTCACATATTCACTCCAAATATTCCAGCCTCCACACTAGAAAGCAAGCCATTCTGAGGAAGGGGCAAAAGGAGGGGCTAAGCAGTTAAGAGAACTTGGGCTTAAAAATGTGGCAAGCAGCCAGGAGTGGAGGGTATCCCTGTAATCTCAGTACTGGGAAAGCCGAGGCAGGAGGATTGCAAGTTCAAGGTCAGTTTGCACTACACAGTGAGAACCTGTGTCAAAAATAAAGAGACAGAAAAAGAAAAAAGTTGCAGGGCTGTGCAGGACTATCTCGTCATCCTCCAGGATCTTGCTTCGCTAACTCAACTTGGTTGTCCTTTGGGTTTGCCATGTCACTGGTGTCTACGGAGGCCCAAAGCAGGACACACTTCACCACCCATCTCCCAGGCGAAAGACACCAGGACTTGACACCTTACTCAGTGCCCATACCGGTGCACACCAAGGAGACAGCCTTGCTGTTTGGTCCGGGAGGCCCACGCACACAGCCATTCCATGGAGAGGGAGGAGTAAGATACTTAAGACAGAGTGTTGACATAAAGAGCAAAACCTTGCACAGAGTGGCCTTGCCCTTGCTCAGCAGTGCTTTGGGAAGATCTGGGATCTTGCCTTGAGCAAAGATCCTAAACTGAGAATCATAGACCAGCATTTCCCAGTCTTTCAGAAGATGTTTGCATTTGGGGGAGGAAGCAATCTTCTCCGTAAGTTAAGGGTTGTTACAAATGGCTTCTAGGTCTAGACACAAGCTAGAGACACAGCTTAGAAAGAGCAGCTAGGAGGCTGGGAAGGACAGGATGGGAAGAGTAACGGGAATACAAGGTGTCCCACCTGCCAGTCCACCCTGAACTCTTGCTGGCAGAACTCAGAGTTTGCTCAAGGGTTCAGGGCCATGGTGCCCTGCACGCAGCAAGGGGCCTGTCCTATCCCAGTATCTCAGGAAGGGGCAGCGGATGCATGCACGCGCACACACACGCACACACACACACACACACACACACTCTGAGACGTGTGACTCCATTGCTTTCCTTGTGTGATGAAACTGACAATCGTCATAGAATGCCTGGGGCTGAACAGCGGGCCCCGGTCTCAGCATCAGGCAGCTGTGTCACGCACTATGCGTGCCCTTTGCCCCAGGAACACCTGTTACCCCACCCTCCTGAAAGGGATTTGTGTACAGGAATGACTCAGCCAGTAATCACGTGTGTGCAAAAAAAAAATTAAAAAGGCCTTTTGTTCTTACTTTTATATATTTTTTTTTCATAATGCCGGAGGATGTTGAAATGCACGGGTCCTAAGAAATGTGTAATTCAAGGGATTTGGGGATGCATACAGCCACATAACCTCTCTGCAAACAAGATAGCCCTGCCACACCCCACAAACTGCCCTCAGCACCCCCACGCAGGCAACAACTCTTCCACCTTTTGGTACAGAACAAAGATTTTTCCCTGCTCTTGAAATTCACTAGATGAAG